AAGTTCTGCAAGTGTGAATCTTGTTTTCTGACGTCGTATATTTACTCAATAAATAGATAAGATTTCTTAAAATGCTCTTGGAATATTTTATCCAGAAAATTCTCATACTCTTGATATAAAATTTAAATGTGTTCTCTTTTTAGAAATGCTTAACATATAACTGTAGCATTTTAAGGATTAAACTTCAAGAAAATTGCCATGTTTCGTTAACTCATTTTTAACACTTTTTTAAATGATAAAAAGCCATAATAGGAATAATGAAGTCTTGTACAAATTCAATACAATGGAAATTGTTTTCAAGAAAGAATGAAGTTTAAAAATGAAAGGAAATTAAATTATCTGAAACTTCGAACGATATCAAAACTATTCACTTTTTTCTTTATTTCTAAGGAAAACATAATTTCAATGCTAAAAAAATGTGTAAAGCCCTAACAACACATTACAAATTCTGTATATTTCAATTTTGGAAAATGAAATGGAAGGAAATTATCTGAAACTTCGAACGATATCTAAACTATTCCCTTTTTTCTTCATTTCTAAGGAAAACACAATTTCAATGTTAAAAAAAATGTGTAAAGCCCTAACAACACATTACAAATTCTGTATATTTAAATTTTGTTTTACGTGGAATTAAGGAAATCTACTTGATTAGGAATTAATCCAATCACTACAAGATCTTAATAACTTTTAGTTCTATCAAATATATTAAAAGATTTCAAAAAAGACAATCTCATTTTCAAACAATAAACTTATCAAAGAAAATTATTCTAGGAAGTCCATTTAGTTTTCTTAAGGTATCCGACTATGTTCGTAACAGTAATTTTGCAAAAGCATATTTAAATGTAATTTGTTGACAAAAACAGAAGGAAAAAAATGACATATTCTGCTTTCATGGAAAATGCTTCCATAATAAAAATATTTGGCTTATATAATAATAAAAATTCTGCCCAGAGCTTGAACAAGGTATTTTTAAAAAACTCGCATTCAGAGCTTCTATCAATAGAAATAATGCACGGAGTTTATTACTAAAACTTTTCTATTCTGACGTATAAAATTATAAATAAATCCAGTTCTAAATTATATGTTTCCAAAATCCCCATTCAGGTTGTGTACCAAAATCTCAACATAATATGCAGGAAACATTATGATTATAGAAGCATTTTTCATAAAATGAACAAATTTAGAAAATATTTCATTTGTCCTTCACTTTCTTGTCAGAAAATTGTATTTAATTCATTTTTTTCCTTGTAATACAATTCTTAAGGTATTCGACAACGTACGGAACCGTCAGTTTTCAAAAGCGTATAAATGGATACTATTTATAATATTTAGTGTCATTTAAATTAGAAAATGCGTATAAAATTGTTTTAAGAATATTATTACAATAAAAAAATATTTAAGTACAATAGTTTGACAAAAAATGAACATAGAATGACCTACTTTCAAAATATTCTCCTTTTGTGAAAAATGCATCTACTTTAATAATATTTTGCCTGTATATAGCTCAGACCTCTGTACAGAGGCTCAACTAGAATTTTTGAAATACATTACTTAGAAGTGGGTTTATCGTTGTTTTACGACAACATAGGGAAGAAATTTTAAGAAAAAAACTCCGATAATTATTTCAAATGGTTGTAACTAAAAATAATGTGAACATTTCAAAATTCTAGTTGAATCTCTGTACAGAGGTCTGATTTATATACAGGCATTATATTATTATAATAGAAGCATTTTTCACGAAAGTAGAACATTTTTAAAAAAAGTTTATTCTAAATTAACTTTTTGCCGAAATATAGTATTTAAATAATATTTTTTTTGTCAAAATGTCTTTAAAACAGTTTTATACATGTATTCTAATCTAAGTGACACTAAATATCATGAAAATTATCCATTTATGCGCCTTTTCAAAATCAAGGTTTCGAACGTAGTCAGATACCTTAAAACCGTTTTTGTGTGTGTATCCTATAGTTCAAATGACATTATATTTAACAAGTAATATAGATTAAAAAAAATTAAGTAAATTACTACTTAGGTCAACATTTTTTTTATTCTAGTATCTTTTTATTAAATAATTATAATTAATATGACATATGATATATGGCAGAATCACAATATTAAGTGGGAAAATAGAAAGCGATTTTCCTAGAAATTTTGCATTTTCCTTTCTATATAGGATGTTAGACTATTATTTATGTTTGTTACTATTTATTTATTTTTTAATTTAATTAATGAATTAATACTTGAAAAACTGTATTAAAATCAAGAGTCATCCACTAAAAGTTTAAAATAATGAATTATAAGTTAGATATAATAATAAATTATATAGATATGAATTTTATGCAATAGTAATGGAATATAAGGGAAGGCTAGATTGAAAAAAACCTCACAGAAGAAGCGACGCGTTTTACACAGAAAAATTAAAAAAAACGAGAACTATGCTTTCGCATTTACTATTCATTTAAAACTAAAACGACATTCTTTGAGGACATTGAGAGCATTGACGACTTTGACGTTATTTCCTGACTCACAAAACTAGATTTTTGAAGTGAATAGAAATCACTGGCCTGAAACTCAATCGAATGTTTTCTGCAAAATGTTCAAGTTCTATTCACTCCTTTCAATATATTGCTTTATTTGGGTGATATTTTTTAGCATGAAAGGTTCTGTCTGTGGATAGTATGGAAAAGATACATATTTTTTAGAAGGAAGCAAATTATTTCTGGAAAAATTTAATATCAGTCTTTGAAAGATGTTTCTGGGTTAGAATTCGAATTCCATGCACTGAGAGAGGTGATTCATAGATATTTATTTTCTTATATAGGTAAAACATATTTATGAGAAACCAACCCGATAAAAAATGTAACACATTTCTACAATTTCCATATGAAAACTTCTGACTTGACATGCAATTTCTCTTTTGATGTATTCAAGAATAAAACTTGTTAAACTACATAAATATATTTTGCCATATTGAATTTTGTGGCACTCTTATTTATGTTGAAGAAGAGATATACAAATTATACTCTTTGAAAATACAATATTCAGAGCTTTGAAACTGTTTTACGCTTCTACTTTTCTTTGCTTTTTTTTAAAGAAAATCGTTTTGCGAATTTTACATACTAATGTTTAGTTTTTCATAAGTAAAAAAAAATTAAACAATTTTTATTGAATATTGGCCATATCGCTACGTTTTACTTTCATTTTAATAATTTTACTTCTACATCTATTTCAAAATCCTTACAAGACACTAAGTTATCAGAATATCTCCATCCATATCCTTGGAATTTAAAAAAAAATTCCAACTCAAACTGTGTTTTTAAGTTCTTCTCAAAATATTATTATTATTATTATTTTAAATTTCATATACATATCAATAAATTCAACTTATCTCTATAAGCCGTTTACAAATCCTGCACTTAGTTCACACACACTCACCCTATATTTAAATCAATTTTTCAATTATTTCATTTATATATATATATATAGAGAGAGAGAGAGAGAGAGAGAAAAGAAATAAGAAATAATTTATAAGAAATTTATATAATATATCCAAAACAAAAGAAATAGTTGATAATAAACATAGCAAGAAATAACGTAACACAAATATAAAAGCAAAGAATGAAGATCGAACTTTTAGAAAAATACAAAAAAGGAACTACAAAAAAGAACCTAGCCAGTCAGAAAGCAATTTCGGACTTAGGACCGAATAAATGGAGTTAAAATAATTTGAAGGGGCCAAACTTCCCCCTTTGGAACTCGGTAGGACAAACCAAATACAATAAACAAAAATTCAAAGTATGTAAAAAATCACAGAAAGTATGATAAAACCACTGATTACTATTCTGACACAAATTCTCCTAAAATCTTGAAACAAAAAAATCCCATGTCAAATACGTAAGAAAAATGAAAAAAAATCCTCAAACAATTACATAAGAAAAGTTTTTTTCAAAAAAGAATTTAACAAAATTTTTAGCTCAATTTTTGGCAAAATTTTGGCAATTATTCACTGACTTAAAAAACCTGAATATAAATAAACATTTACATAGCCATTTTTATAGTTGTCATTCACTAAGTATATTAGAACGCTCTCTCAAGTGTCAAGATGGCCGAGTGGTATAATTCGCTGCGTTCAGGTCGCAGTCGACTTGTGTTTCCGGGGATTCGAATCCCACTTCGGACAACGTAATTCTATTCAGTCAATTTTTTTAGGTTCCTAAAACTAAATGAAAGGAAAAGCTCTCTCATGTTTCAGGATGGCCGAGTGGTTTAAGGCGCTGCGTTCAGTTCGCCGCTCACTTCTGTGGGCATGGGTTCAAATCCCACTTTTAGCAATTATATTTCATTCTCTCAGTTATTTTTTTTTAGTTTTCATAAATTAAATGTATGATTGATTGAATATTAGCGTCGCACTGCTCAGCAACAGGAGGGCTTTTGGCGTAGGACCACGTAATTTTTTAACCATGGTCAAGTGACGTAGACGACACCTGAGATGGCACCCGTCTCTCCTAACTATAACACCTCACCACCGGGAGGTCGTTTCAGCTCTCGACAGATTTAACGTGCATCGCAGCCCTACACGGCGGGTCTTTGGTGTTACTGGGCTCACACTCGTGACAAGGCAAGCCACGATCCGATACCTATACCACTCGTCTACCGCGGCCACATAAATTAAATGTAAGGAAACGCTCTTGCACGTGTCAGGATGACCGAGCAGTCTAAGGCGCTGCCTTCAGGTCGCAGTCCAATTGTGTGGGCGTGGTTTCGAATCCCTCTTCTGACAATGTAATTCTATTCATTCATTTTTTGAGGTTCCAAAAACTAAATGTAAGGGAAAGCTCTCTCAAGTGTCAGGATGGCCGTTCGTCTAAGGCTTTGCATTCAGGTCGCAGTACACTCGCGAGGGCATGGGTTCGAATTCCTCTTCTGACAATGAAATTTTATTCAGTCATTATTTTTTTTTAGTTTTCATAAACTAAATGTAAGGGAAAACTATTTCATAGGTCAAGATTCCCGAGCGGTCTAAAGCGCTGCGTTCAGGTCGCAGTACAATTCTGCGGGATTGGGTTCGAATCCCATTTTTGACATTTACATTTCGTTCAGGTATTTTTTTTCGTTTTTATAAATTAAATGCAAGGAAATGCTCTCGCTTTTGTCAGGATGGTCGAGCGGTCTAAGGTGCTGGGGTTAGGTCGCAGACAACTTCCGTGGGCATGGGTTCAAATCCCATTTCTGACAATGTAATTTTGTTCACTTATTTTTTTTAGGTTCCAAAAACTAAACGTAAGGGAAAACTGTTTTACAGGTCAAGATTCTCGAGCGGTCTAAGGCGCTGCGTTCAGGTCGCAGTTCGCTTGTGTGGGTTCGAATCCCACTTCTGACAATGTATTTCGCTTCAGCGATTTATTGAGATTAAAGAACTAAATGCAAGGGAAAGTTCTTTTGCGTGTCAGGATGGCATATCGGTCTAAGGCGCTGCGTTTAGGTCGCATTCCACTTGCGTGTTCGGCGGTCCAAATCCCACGTCGAGCAATTGTATTTCATTGATTCATTTTTTTTAATTCTCATAAAGTAAATTAAAGGAAACGATCTCTCAAATTTCAGGATGGCCAAATGGTCAAAGGCGCTGTGTTCAGGTTGAAATCCACCCGGTTTTGGCGTGGGTTCGAATCCCACTTCTGATAATGTAAATTTTTTCAGTGATTATTTTTTTAGTTTTCATAAACTAAATGTAAGGGAAGATCTTTCACAGGTTAAGATTCCTGAGCGGTCTAAAACGCTGCGTTCAGGTCGCAGTAAAATTCTGCAGGCGTGGATTCGGATTCCACGTTTGACAATTATAATTCATTCATTCATTTTTTGAGTTCTCATTAATTAAATGAAAGGAAATTTTCTCCCACATGTCAGGATGGCCGAGCGGTCTAAGGCGCTGCGTTCAGGTCACGGTCCACTTGTGTGTGCGTGGGTTCGAATCCCACTTCTAAAAATGTATTTCTATTCAGTCATTTTTTGAGGTTAAAGAACTAAATGCAAGGGAAAGCTCTTTCACATGTCAGGATTGCCGAGCGGTCTAAAGCGCTTCGATCTGGTCGCAGTCCACTTGCGTGGGCGGGGGTCCAAATCCCACGTCTAGCAATTATATTTCATTGAGTCATTTTTTTTAGTTTTCATAAAAAAATTAAAGGAAACGTTCTCGCAAATTTCAGGATGGCCAAGTGGTCAATCGCGATGCGTTCAGGTCCCCGTCCACTCGTGTGCGCGTGGGTTCGTATCCCACTTCTGATAAGGAAATTTTATTCAGTCATTATTTTTTTAGTTTTCATCAACCAAATGTAAGGGAAAGCTTTTAACAGGTTAAGATTCCTGAGTGCCGCGTTCAGATCGCAGTACAATTCTGTGGCCGTTGGTTCGAATCGCACTGGTGACAATTATATTTCATTGTAATTCTTTTTTAGTTATTATAAATTAAATGCAAGGAAATGCTTTTGCATTTGTCAGGATGGCCGATCGGTCTAAGGCACTGCGTTTAGGTCGCAGTCCACTTCTGTGTGCGTAGGTTCGAATCCCACTTCTGACAATAAAAATTTATTCAGTTATTTTTTTAGGTTTCAAAAACTAAATGTAAGGGAAATTTTTTTCACATGTCAGGATGGCCGATCGGTCTAAATCGCTGCGTTTAGGTCGCATTCCACTTCTGTGGGCGTGCTTTCGAATCCAACTTCAGACAATAAAATTTTATTCAGTCATTTTTTTTAGTTCTCATAACTTATCTGTAAGGAAAGGCTCTCGCACGTGTCAGGATAGCCGAGCGGTCAAAGGCGCTGCAATCAGGTCGATGACCACTTGCGTGTTCGGCTGTCCAAATCCCACGTCGAGCAATAGTATTTCATTGATTCATTTTTTTTAAATCTCAAAAAGTAAATTAAAGGAAACCTTCTCTCAAATTTCAGGATGGCCAAACGGTCAAAGAAGCTGCGTTCAGGTCGAAATCAACCCGGTTTTGGCGTCGGTTCCAATCCCACTTCTGATAATGTAATTTTATTCAGTCGTTATTTTTTTAGTTTTCATAAACTAAATGTAAGGGAAAGATCTTTCACAGGTTAAGATTCCTGAGCGGTCTAAAACTGCTGCGTTCAGGTCGCAGTAAAATTCTGCAGGCGTGGTTTCGGATTCCACGTTTGACAATTATAATTCATTCATTTTTTTTTTCTGTTCTTATTAATTAAATGAAAGGAAACACTCTCCCACGTGTCAGGATGGCGAGAGCGGTCTAAGGCGCTGCGTTCAGGTCGCAGTCCACGTGTGTGGGCGTGGGTTCGATTACCACTTCTGACAATGTATTTCTATTAAGTCATTTTTTGAGGTTAAAGAACTAAATGTAAGGGAAATCTCTTTCACATGTCAGGATAACCGAGCTGTCTAAGGCGCATCGATCTGGTTGCAGTCCACTTGCGTTGGCGGGGGTCGAAATCCCACGTCTAGCAATTATATTTCATTGCGTCATTTTTTTTAGTTCTCTTAAAAAATTAAAGGAAACGTTCTCGCAAATTTCAGGATGGCCAAGTGGTCAATCGCGATGCGTTCAGGTCGCCGTCCACTCGTGTGCGCGTGGGTTCGTATTCCACTTCTGATAAGGTAATTTTATTCAGTCATTATTTTTTTAGTTTTCGTAAACTAAATGTAAGGGAAAGCTCTTTAACTGGTTAAGATTCCTGAGCGCCGCGTTCAGATTGCAGTACAATTCTGTGGCCGTGCGTTCGAATACCACTTCTGGCAATAAAAAGTTATGCAGTTATTTTTTTAGAATACAAAAACTAAATGTAAGGGAAAAATCTTTCACAGGTTAATATTCCAAAGCGGTCTAAAGCACTGCGTTCAGGTCGCAGTAAAATTCTGCAGGCGTGGTTTCGGTTTCCACGTTTGACAATTAAAATTCATTCATTCCTTTTTTTAGTTCTCATTAATTAAATGAAAGGAAACACTCTCCCACGTGTCAGGATGGCCGAGCGGTCTAAAGCGCTGCGTTTAGATCGCATTCCAATTCTGTGGGCGTGGGTTCGAATCCCACTTCTGACAATGTATTTCTATTCAGTCATTTTTTTAAAGTTAAAAAACTAAATGCAAGGGAAAGCCCTTCTATGCGTCAGGATGGCCGATCGGTATAAGACGCTGCGTTTAGGTCGCAGTCCACTTCTGTGTGCGTGGGTTCGAATCCCACGTCTGACAATCAAATTTATTCAGTTATTTTATTTAGGTTCTAAAAACTAAATGTTTGTGATATCTTTTCCACATGTCAGGATGGCCAATCGGTCTAAATCGCTGCGTTCATGTCGAATTCCACTCGGTTTTGGCGTGGGTTCGAATCCCACTTCTGATAATGTAATTTTATTGAGTCATTATTTTTTTAGTTTTCATAAACTAAATGTAAGGCAAAGATCTTTCATAGGTTAAGATTCCTCAGTGGTCTAAAGCGCTACGTTCAGGTCGCAGTAAAATTCTGCAGGCGTGGTTTCGGATTCCACGTTTGACAATTAAAATTCATTCATTAATTTTTTAGTTCTCATTAATTAAATGAAAGGAAATCATCTCCCACGTGTCAGGATGGCCGAGTGGTCTAAGGCACTGCAATCAGGTCGCAGTACACTTGCGTGTTCGGGGGTCCAACTCCCACGTCGAGCAATTATATTTATTTGAGTTATATTTTTTAGTTCTCATAAAGTAAATTAAAGTAAACGTTTTCTCAAATTTCAGGATTTCCAAGCGGTCAAAGGCGCTGCGTTCATGTCGAAGTCCACTCGGTTTTGGCGTGGGTTCGAATCTCACTTCTGATAATGTAATTTTATTGAGTCATTATTTTTTTAGTTTTCATAAACTAAATGTAAGGCAAAGATCTTTCATAGGTTAAGATTCCTCAGTGGTCTAAAGCGCTGCGTTCAGGTCGCAGTAAAATTCTGCAGGCGTGGTTTCGGATTCCACATTTGACAAATATATTTCATTCATTCATTTTTTAAGTTCTCATTAATTAAATGAAAGGAAACACTTTCCCACGCGTCACGATGGCCGAGTGGTCTAAAGCGCTGCGTTCAGGTCGCAGTCCAATTTTGTGGGCGTGGGTTCGAATCCCACTTCTGACAATGAATTTTTATTCAGTCATTTTTTGAGGTTAAAAACTAAATGTAAGGGAAATCTCTTTCACATGTCAGGATGCGCGAGCTGTCTAAAGCTCTGTGTTCAGATCGCAGGCCACTTCTGTGGGCGTGGGTTCGAATCCCACTTCTGACAATGTATTTCTATTCAGTCATTTTTTCAAGTTAAAAAACTAAATGCAAGGGAAAGCCCTTCTATGTGTCAGGATGGCCGATCGGTAAAAGACGCTGCGTTTAGGTCGCAGTCCACTTCTGTGTGCGTGGGATCGAATCCCACATCTGACAATAAAATTTATTCAGTTATTTTATTTAGGTTCTAAAAACTAAATGTTTGGGATTTCTTTTCCACATGTCAGGATGGCCGATCGGTCTAAATCGCTGCGTTCATGTCGAATTCCACTCGGTTTTGGAGTGGGTTCGAATCCCACTTCTGATTAAGTAATTTTATCCAGTCATTATTTTTTTAGTTCTCATAAACTTAATGTAAGGGAAAGATCTTTCACAGGTTAAGATTCCTGAGCGGTCTAAAGCGCTTCGTTTAAGTCGCAGTAAAATTCTGCAGGCGTGGTTTCGGATTCCACGTTTGACAATTATATTTCATTCATTCATTTTTTTAGTTCTCATTAATTAAATGAAAGGAAACCCTCTCCCACGTGTCAGGATGGCCGAGCGGTCTAAGGCGCTGCGTTCAGGTCGCAGTCCACTTGTGTGGGCGTAGGTTCGAATCCCACTTCTGACGATGTATTTCTATTCAGTCATTTTTGGAGGTTAAAGAACTAAATGCAAGGGAAAGCTATTTTGCGTGTCAGGAGGGACGAGCGGTTTAAGGCGCTGCAATCAGGTCGTAGTCCACTTGCGTGTTCGTGGGTTCGAATCCGACTTCGGACAATGTATTTATTTCAGTCATTTTTTGATTTTAATAAAACTACATGCAAGGGAAAGCTATTCTGCGTGTCAGGATGGCCGAGCGGTCTAAGGCGCTGCGTTCAGGTCGCAGACCACTTCTGTGGGTGTATGTTCGAATCCCACTTCTGACAATAAAATTTTTTCACATACTTTTCTTGGATTCGAAAAACTAAATGTAAGGGAAACTCTTTCACATGTCAGGATGGCCGATCGGTCTAAGGCGCTGCGTTTAGATCACATTCCACTTCTGACAATAGAATTTTATTCAGTCATTTTTTTTTGTTCTCATAACTTAAATGTAAGGAAATGCTCTCGCACGTGTCAGGATGCCCGAGCGGTCTAAGTCGCTGCAATCAGGTCGCAGTATACTTGCGTGTTCGGGGGTCCAACTCCCACGTCGAGCTATTATATTTAGTTATTTTTTTAGTTCTCATAAAGTAAATTAAAGAAAACGTTTTCTCAAATTTCAGGATGGCCAAGCGGTCAAAGGCACTGCGTTCATGTCGAAGTCCACTCGGTTTTGGCGTGCGTTCGAATCCCACTTCTGATAATGAAATTCTATTGAGTCATTATTTTTTTAGTTTTCATAAACTAAATGTAAGGCAAAGATTTTTCATAGGTTAAGATTCCTGAGTGGTCTAAAGCGCTGCGTTCAGGTCGCAGAAAAATTCTGCAGGCGTGGTTTCGGATTCCACATTTGACAATTATATTTCATTCATTCATATTTTAAGTTCTCATTAATTAAAAGAAAGGAAACACTCTCCTACGTGTCAGGATGGCCGAGCGGTCTAAGGCGCTGCGTTCAGGTCGCAGACCACTTGTGTGGGCGTGGGTTCGAATCCCAGTACAGACAATATATTTCTATTCAGTCATTTTTTGAGGTTAAAGAACTAAATGCAAGGGAAAGCTATTTTGCGTGTCAGGATGGCCGAGCGGTTTAAGGCGCTGCAATCAGGTCCTAGTCCACTTGCGTGGGCGTGGGTTCGAATCCCACTTCTGACAATGTATTTCTTTCAGTCATTTTTGAGGTTAAAAACTACATGCAAGGGAAAGCTATTTTGCGTGTCAGGATGGCCGAGCGGTTTAAGGCGCTGCAATCAGGTCCTTGTCCACTTGCGTGGGCGTGGGTTCGAATCCCACTTCTGACAATGTATTTCGTTCAGTCATTTTTTGAGGTTAAGAACTACATGCAAGGGAAAGCTATTTTGCGTGTCAGGTTGACCGAGCGGTCTAAGGCGCTGCGTTCAGGTCGCAGACCACTTCTGTGGGCGTCTGTTCGAATCCCACTACTGACAATAAAATTTTATTCACATACTTTTCTTAGGTTCCAAAAACTAAATGTAAGGGAAAACTCTTTCACATGTCAGGATGGCCGATCAGTCTAAAGCGCTGCGTTTAGATCACATTCCACTTCTGACAATAGAATTTTATTCAGTCATTTTTTTTTAGTTCTCATAACTTAAATGTAAAAGAAATGCTCTCGCACGTGTCAGGATGGCCGAGCGGTCTAAGGCGCTGCAATCAGGTCGCAGTCCACTCGGTTTTGGCGTGGGTTCGAATCCCACTTCTGATAATGTAATTTTATTCAGTCATTATTTTTTTAGTTCTCATAAACTAAATGTAAGGGAAAGATCTTTCACAGGTTAAGATTCCTGAGTGGTTTAAAGCGCTGCGTTTAAGTCGCAGTAAAATTCTGCAGGCGTTGTTTCGGATTCCACGTTTGACAATTATATTTCATTCATTCATTATTTTAAGTTCTCATTAATTAAATGAAAGGAAACACACTCTCCCACGTGTCAGGATGGCCGAGCGGTCTAAGGCGCTGCGTTCAGGTCGCAGTCCACTTGTGTGGGCGTAGGTTCGAATCCCACTTCTGACGATGTATTTCTATTCAGTCATTTTTGGAGGTTAAAGAACTAAATGCAAGGGAAAGCTATTTTGCGTGTCAGGAGGGACGAGCGGTCTAAGGCTCTGCGTTCAGGTCGCAGTTCACTTGTGTGGGCTTGGGTTCGAATCCCACTTCTGACAATGTATTTCTATTCAGTCATTTTTTGAGGTTAAAGAACTAAATGCAAGGGAAAGCTATTTTGCGTGTCAGGAGGGACGAGCGGTTTAAGGCGCTGCAATCAGGTCCTAGTCCACTTGCGTGGGCGTGGGTTCGAATCCCACTTCTGACAATGTATTTCTTTCAGTCATTTTTTGAGGTTAAAAACTACATGCAAGGGAAAGCTATCTTGCGTGTCAGGATGGCCGAGCGGTTTAAGGCTCTGTAATCAGGTCCTATTCCACTTGCGTGGGCGTGGGTTCGAATCCCACTTCTGACAATGTATTTCTTTCAGTCATTTTTTGAGGTTAAAAACTTCATGCAAGGGAAAGCTATTTTGCGTGTCAGGATGGCCGAGCGGTCTAAGGCGCTGCGTTCAGATCGCAGTCCATTTGCGAGTTCGGTGGACCAAATCCCACGTCGAGCAATTATATTTTATTGAGTCATGTTTTTAGTTCTCATAAAGTAAATTAAAGGAAACGTACTCTCATATTTCAGGATGCCCAAGCGGTCAAAGGCGCTGCGTTCAGGCCGAAGTCCACTCGGTTTTGGCGTCGGTTCGAATCCCACTTCTTATAATGTAATTTTTTTCAGTCATTATTTTTTTAGTTTTCATAAACTAAATGTAATAGAAAGATCTTTCACAGGTTAAAGATTCCTGAGCGGTCTAAGGCGCTGCGTTCAGGACGCAGTCAACATGTGTGGGCGTGGGTTTGAATCCCATTTCTGACAGAGTATTTCTATTCAGTCATTTTTTGAGATTAAAGAACTAAATGCAAGTGATAGCTCTTTTACGTGTCAGAATGTTCGAGTGGACTAGGACGTTGCGTTCAGGTCGCAGTCCACTTCTGTGGGCATGGGTTCGCATCCCACTTTTGACAATAAAATTTTATTCACTTACTTTTCTTAGGTTCCAAAAACTAAATGTAAGGGAAAACTCTTTCACATGTCAAGATGGCCGATCGGTCTAAGGTGCTGCGTTTAGATCACATTCCACTTCTGTGGGCGTGGGTTCGAATCCCACTTCTGACAATAGGATTTTATTCAGTCATTTTTTTTTTAGTTTTCATAACTTAAATAAAAGGAAATCATCTCCCACGTGTCAGGATGGCCGAGTGGTCTAAGGCACTGCAATCAGGTCGCAGTACACTTGCGTGTTCGGGGGTCCAACTCCCACGTCGAGCAATTATATTTATTTGAGTTATATTTTTTAGTTCTCATAAAGTAAATTAAAGGAAACGTTTTCTCAAATTTCAGGATTTCCAAGCGGTCAAAGGCGCTGCGTTCATGTCGAAGTCCACTCGGTTTTGGCGTGGGTTCGAATCTCACTTCTGATAATGTAATTTTATTGAGTCATTATTTTTTTAGTTTTCATAAACTAAATGTAAGGCAAAGATCTTTCATAGGTTAAGATTCCTGAGCGGTCTAAAGCGCTGCGTTTAGGTCGCAGTAAAATTCTGCAGGCGTGGTTTCGGATTCCACGTTTGACAATTATAATTCATTCATTAATTTTTTTAGTTCTCATTAATTAAATGAAAGGAAACACCCTCTCACGTGTCAGGATGGCCGAGCGATCTCAGGCGCTGCGTTCAGGTCGCAGTCCTCTTCTGTGGGCGTGGGTTCGAGTCCCACTTCTGACATGAATTTATTCAGGTTTTTTTTTAGGTTCCAAAAACTAAATTTAAGGTAAATCTCTTTCAAATGTCAGGATGGCCGATGGGTCTAAAGCGCTGCGTTTAGATCGCGTTCCACTTCTGTGGGCGTAGGTTCGAATCCCACTTCTGACAATAAAATTTTATTCAGTCATTTTTTTTTTAGTTCTCATAACTTAAATGTAAGGAAACGCTCTCGCACGTGTCAGGATGGCCGATTGGTCTAAGGCGCTGCAATCAGCTCGCAGTACACTTGCTTGTGCGGGGGTCCAACTCCCACGTCGAGCAATTTTATTTAGTTATTTTTTTTATTTCTCATAAAGTAAATTAAAGGAAACGTTTTCTCAAATTTCAGGATGGCCAAGCGGTCAAAGGCGCTGCGTTCATGTCGAAGTCCACTCGGTTTTGGCGTGGGTTCGAATCCCACTTCTGATAATGTAATTTTATTCAGTCATTATTTTTTTAGTTCTCATAAACTAAATGTAAGGCAAAGATCTTTCATAGGTTAAGATTCCTGAGTGGTCTAATGCGCTGCGTTCAGGTCGCAGTAAAATTCTGCAGGCGTGGTTTCGGATTCCACGTTTGACAATTATATTTCATTCATTCATTTTTTTAAGTTCTCATTAATTAAATGAAAGGAAACACTCTCCTCCGTGTCAGGATGGCCGAGCGGTCTAAGGCGCTGCGTTCAGGTCGCAGTCCACTTGTGTGGGCGTGGGTTCGAATCCCACTTCTGAAAATGTATTTCTATTCAGTCATTTTTTGAGATTAAAGAACTAAATGCAAGGGAAAGCTTTTTTGCGTGTCAGGAGGGACGAGCGGTTTAAGGCGCTGCAATCAGGTCGTAGTCCACTTCCGTGTTCGTGGGTTCGAATCCCACTTCGGACAATGTATTTCTTTCAGTCATTTTTTGAGTTTTAAAAAACTACATGCAAGGGAAAGCTATTTTGCGTGTCAGGATGGCCGAGTGGTATAAGGCGCTGCGTTCAGGTCGCAGTCCACTTCTGTGGGCGTGGGTTCGAATCCCACTTCTGACAATAAAATTTTATTCAGTCATTTTTTTTAGTTCTCATAACTTAAATTTAAGGAAACGCTCTTTCACGTGTCAGGATGGCCGAGCGGTCTAAGGCGCTGCAAACAGGTCGCATGACACATGCATGTTAGGGGACTAACTCCCAAGTCGAGCAATTAGATTTAGTTGAGCTATTTCTTTTAGTTCTCATATAGTAAATTAAAAGAAACGTTTTCTAGAATTTCAGGATGGCCAAGCGGTCAAAGGCGCTGCGTTCATGTCGAAGTCCACTCGGTTTTGGCGTGGGTTCGAATCCCACTTCTGATAATGTAATTTTATTGAGTCATTATTTTTTTAGGTCTCATAAACTAAATGTAAGGGAAAGATCTTTCACAGGTTAAGATTCCTGAGCGGTCTAAAGCGCTGCGTTTAAGTCGCAGTAAAATTCTGCAGGCGTGGTGTCGGATTCCACGTTGGATAATAAAATTTTATTCATTCATTTTTTTAAGTTCTCTTTAATTAAATGAAAGGAAACACTCTTCCACGTGTCAGGATGGCCGAGCGGTCTAAGGCGCTGTGTTCAGGTCGCAGTCCACTTGTGTTGGCGTGGGTTCGAATCCCACTTCTGACAATGTATTTCTATTCAGTCATTTTTTGAGGTTAAAGAACTAAATGCAAGGGAAAGCTATTTTGCGTGTCAGGAGGGACGAGCGGTTTAAAGCGCTGCAATCAGGTCATAGTCCACTTGCGTGTTCGTGGAATTGAATCCCACTTCGGACAATGTATTTCTTTCAGTCATTTTTTGAGTTTAAAAAAGTTACATGCAAGGAAAAGCTATTCTGTCTGTCAGGATGGCCGAGCGGTCTAAGGCGCTGCGTTCATGTCGAAGTCCACTCGGTTTTGGCGTGGGTTCGAATCCCACTTCTGATAATGTAATTTTATTGAGTCATTTTTTTAGGTCTCATAAACTAAATGTAAGGGAAAGATCTTTCACAGGTTAAGATTCCTGAGCGGTCTAAAGCGCTGCGTTTAAGTCGCAGTAAAATTCTGCAGGCGTGGTTTCGGATTCCACGTTTGATAATAAAATTTTATTCATTCATTTTTTTAAGTTCTCATTAATTAAATGAAAGGAAACACTCTCCCACGTGTCAGGATGGCCGAGCGGTCTAAGGCGCTGCGTTCAGGTCGCAGTCCACTTGTGTGGGCGTGGGTTCGAATCCCACTTCTGACAATGTATTTCTATTCAGTCATTTTTTGAGGTTAAAGAACTAAATGCAAGGGAAAGCTATTTTGCGTGTCAGGAGGGACGAGCGGTTTAAAGCGCTGCAATCAGGTCATAGTCCACTTGCGTGTTCGTGGAATTGAATCCCACTTCGGACAATGTATTTCTTTCAGTCATTTTTTGAGTTTAAAAAAGTTACATGCAAGGAAAAGCTATTCTGTCTGTCAGGATGGCCGAGCGGTCTAAGGCGCTGCGTTCATGTCGAAGTCCACTCGGTTTTGGCGTGGGTTCGAATCCCACTTCTGATAATGTAATTTTATTCAGTCATTATTTTTTTAGTTCTCATAAACTAAATGTAAGGGAAAGATCTTTCACAGGTTAAGATTCCTGAGCGGTCTAAAGCGCTGCGTTTAAGTCGCAGTAAAATTCCGCAGGCGTGGATTTCGGATTCCACGTTTGACAATTATACACTCTGTCGCAAAAAAATATATGCACCCAGAAGAAATTGAGCTACATTCACGAAATTTGGTATGCATGTAGTGTATATGAAAATAAACAAATGATTAAAAATTCAGAACAAAATATCATTTTATTAAGCGGTTACAGCTTGCAAAAGGTTAAAAATCAGTAAGTAGTAAAGCCACCTCTGGCAGCTATACAAGCCGAAATTCGGCGTGGCATCGATTCAATTAGATCACTTATGACCCCTTGTGGAAGATCCTGCCATAGTCTTTGCATCTGCGCAGTTAATTCTCCTGTATCTCGGGACGGCTGCAGTTGCCTTCCCAGCGCGTCCAGACATGCTCTATTGGCGAAAGATCTGGTGACCTGGCAGGCCATGGTAGGACGTCATATCCTTGAAGACATTGTTGGGAGAGTCGCGCAGTATGTGGACGAGCATTATCCTGTTGATAAATGGCACCTGGGCGACTTGATAGCATGGGTAGCACAATCGGCGTTAAAATATCGTCCACGTATCTGCGAGCTGTCAAAGTGCCTTGAAGGACCACTAAAGATGATCGTGTGTCCCAAGAAATTGCTCCCCACAGTCACACCTTGTGAAATTGCTGTATGCCGCTCGACAATAAATGCCGGATCGGACCGCTGGCCGGTGCGCCTCCCAGACACGTGTGCGGTGGTCATCAGCACTGAGACTGAATCGGGATTCATCACTGAAGATGACACGTCTCCAGTCTGTCACACCCAAGTTGCCCGAGGTCGGCAAAAATCCAGTCGACACTGCCTATGATGTGGGGTCAGTGGTAAGCGTCTTAGCGGACGTCGGCTCCTCAAACCAACTTCGGTCAGTCGTCTCCTTATGGTTTCTCTTGATGGCACTGGATGTCTGGAAGGAGGTAAGTGGCGTTGAATCGATGCTAGCGACGTTGTTGGTGCCGAAGTGGCCACTCTTCTGATTGCACGATCCTCGCGATCATTTGTGTTCCTGGGACGTCCTGACCCTCCGCGACGGTACACTCTACCTTCTGTGATCCACTGTTGCCAACACCGAGCAACTACCATATCGCTCCGACCGAGGTGGCGGCCGATACGTCTATTCGACCAACCTGCTTCTCTGAGGCCTATTATACGGCCCCTCAAAGTCCGTCAGCTGCTCGTACTGCCACCGGTTACGTCTTAGAGGCATCCTAATCTCAATATCGTCTATCAAAGTCATCAGATTCGTTTGGATAGCCGTACGACGCTCGTACTCATGCTTTTAAACTCTCCCAGTTGCGCAACTAATATGCGCATAGCAAAGCCTTGTCTCATTGGCTTCGAAATTTTAATCATTTGCATATCTCTTACCAGACTACATTCTTGCCGAGTTTCGTGATTGTAGCGTTGATTTCTTCTGGGTGCATATATTTTTTGCGACAGAGTGTATTTCATTCATTCATTTTTTTAAGTTCTCATTAATTAAATGAAAGGAAACACTCTCATCCGTGTCAGGATGGCCGAGCGGTCTAAGGCGCTGCGTTCAGGTCGCAGTCCACT